CGATTACAGTATAGATACGAGACGGAGGACCACACCATCTCACCTCTCATACAGTATTTTCTGTCATAATATTTAAACTTTTTAATCCTCTCTTCCTCTTAAAGAATTTGTTGGATATCTCTGACAAAGAAAACTATATTATGTCACAAGTTATATGTGTTATACAAAAGGGAAACATTGTATTGAAGTCAACATAACATTCGCTGCTTTCGTTGCAAACCATAAGCTGTATATTAAAAGTGGATCTCTTTTTGGATGTCATCTCATATGTCGGGATAACACTAAAGCAATTGTGTGGACACTTTTGCACGCAATCGCTCTTTCATGTGCTCTCAGTATTGATATTCAATTTGCTTTCATAAATATTACACTTTTATTATAAGAGAAATAAATTAATTCTTTGTTATATTAAATAAAATCCTTAATTAATTAGATTTTTATTAAAAGAATGAAATATCGATTGGAATATAACGTTAGTATTACTGGTTTTGACTGAATTATACACCAAACTGTGGTTTACTTGAATATTATCCCAATAAACGTCTCTGTGATCAATGTTTCCTTCTTTGGATCTTTTTGTAAAACCATTGGATTAGAGGTTAGAATCGCAGTACAAAACACAACACAACTTCACATCATTTCTAAATTCTCTCTCTTATCACAAGTTTTCTTTTCATTGCATATATCAGTATTCAATTGCAATTCAAATGGATTTCACTGCTGACAAGATATAAAAGACTCTCTCTCTCTCTTTCTCTCTCTCTCTCTCTCTCTCTCCTGCATATAAGAGGAGAAATAATGCGAATACAATATTAACGGTATTAATCCATCCTTTTGAAAGTCTGATGTTTAGTATTCAGGGGGAGAGGAGATCAAAGTATGCGAATCACAGTTTCTGTTGCATTCAATGACATATTTGATCGCATACTATGATTCAGAATATAAAATGGATCTGAATTTAACATTTGGTTTATCGTTTTAAGATATTTTTTGTATATTTTATTTCATTGTAATCTCTTTAAGAATTGAATTGATTTTATTGATCGCTTACATAAAAAATAATATTTATGAATGCTATAACTTATACTATACTGTATGTTCTAAATGTATGTTCAGTGCATACTATATAATGGATATCTTGGGTATAATTATACTATTCTCGAAAAAGTTTTTTGTTTTGTTTACTCAACAATTCATTTAAAGAATTAATTGAAATCTTGTTAAGAATAAAGTTTAAAGTATGTATTAAGTGATTGATTGAAGGGATGGGCAAAAGTGCAGAGATTGTTGAATTGGAGGACAAAAAGATGTTGTGTTTGTTGATCCGAAAGAAAACTGGAAATCGGATGCAATAGAAATGCATTTTCACAGTTAAAGTAAAACTCGATTGAGTCGTTTGAAAGCAAATGATTAGACAAAGCGAATGAGAATTTGATAGAAGACTAACTGTCCGCACATCTAATGGACAGTGCAGTGCATCTCATCTCTAGATGTGTGGATAGAGTGTCGGCCATAACTGGTCTTAGTTTGAGTTTGAAAGTAATCTATAGCTCAGTGTTCAATATAAGTAAGTAATACAACACATATTCAATACTTAGTTGACAAAACAGAGAGTCGGATGAAATTTCGTAGCAAATGCACGCTTCACTACTTCCGTTTAGTACAGCATCAGCCGTACGGCCTTATGTGCAGCTCCTACAGCTCTACAGTACAGCTCTACTCAATTCAACTCAACTCCAGCTCTGCAATAGACTGGTGTTGACACAAGAAATGAAGGCTCGGATGTTGGATAAAGCCATAAGAATCTACAATATATAACACAAACTTTTATCGAATAAAAGCTCTACAATATTGATGAATCAAACTATAGTGAACACAGAGAGCATGGAGAGAGAGAGAGAGAGAGAAAGAGAGAGAGAGAGAGTCTTTTATATCTTGTCAGCAGTGAAATCCATTTGAATTGCAATTGAATACTGATATATGCAATGAAAAGAAAACTTATGATAAGAGAGAGAATTTAGAAATGATGTGAAGTTGTGTTGTGTTTTGTACTGCGATTCTAACCTCTAATCCAATGGTTTTACAAAAAGAGCCAAAGAAGGAAACATTGATCACAGAGACGTTTATTGGGATAATATTCAAGTAAACCACAGTTTGGTGTATAATTCAGTCAAAACCAGTAATACTTACGTTATATTCCGATCGATATTTGATTCTTTTAATAAAAATCTAATTAATTAAGGATTTTATTTAATATAACAAAGAATTAATTTATTTCTCTTATAATAAAAGTGTAATATTTATGAAACCAAATTGAATATCAATAATGAGAGCACATGAAAGAGCGATTGCGTGCAAAAGTGTCGACACAATTGCATTAGTGTTATCCCGACATATGAGATGACATCCAAAAAGAGATCCACTTTTAATATACAGCTTATGGTTTGCAACGAAAGCAGCGAATGTTATGTTCACTTCAATACAATGTTTCCCTTTTGTATAACACATAACTTGTGACATAATATAGTTTTCTTTGTCAGAGATATCCAACAAATTCTTTAAGAGGAAGAGAGGATTAAAAAGTTTAAATATTTTGACACAAAATACTGTATGAGAGGTGAGATGGTGTGGTCCTCCGTCTCGTATCTATACTCAGTATAGTATAGTATACTGTAATCATAAACACTGACCTTCAGTGAAATNTAAACACTGACCTTCAGTGAAATTTTATTGACGTCCAATAATTGTGCGGCACTTTTGCTCAAATGTAGCCCTACTTCGGCTCTATTAAGACATCTTTCCATCAGTTGTTCAGTTGTCGCACTTTTTACACTTTTAGACTTTTCTCTATAAAAGGACCTTTACCTCTGTCCAATAAATGTACAGTACATGGGGTATATTTAGTGAACACTTGTATAGGCAAATAAACTGTGGCTGATAACGAAAGCACTGTTTCTTATACGGATTATAGAGATAAGCATCGACATTGTCGATTAGCAAAAAAGTCCAAATTGAAACTATTTTTTATGTGGTGCCGTATTTGTTAAATCTGGTGTATATTGAGTTTAATTCTCATTGGTGATATAATTTGTACAAATTTCAATGTTTGTTCAAATGGCCTGGCCAAACTTTTTTAAGTTAAAATGTTTATATAAATTAGATTCACCTGTATTTTGAATTTCAATGCTTATCTGTATAATCCGTGCTAAGAAACAGTGCTTGTTATCAGTCACAGTATATTTCTCATACTCTTTGTACATTTATTGGAGAAAGGTGAAAGTCCGTTTATAAAGAAATATCATGGCTACAAAACATGTGATAAGCTTTTATAAATACAAATATCAACATTTGCATATACGGTATACAGTGTATCACCAAATGACAGTACAGTCATACGATTGAAAGACATTATCATAGTTATAGCTATACTGTACTTATATAGCGACTGATTGTCGCAGTCATTGGAAAGCATATTCTGAGCGAACGGTTAGGTTATAGGTGTATGTCTTGTGAATAGCAATGTATTCCCGTATCACATGTATTGCAAACTATTGCAAAATTAGTTTCGTTAGAAAATAAGGCAAAACGTCGTAAAAGTTAGTAAAAAATAGTGAATAATACTCGCGTAAGTACAGCATTGTCCACACATACCCTCCCACCACACGCTCCACCACTCCCCAGCTATGCTGGTGTTGGCATTAGCACTGGTGTGTTGTCGTCACAGCCATCGATCTGATAGTGGATTGAGGAGGAGTTGTGTGTCAGTCCACCTCAGCTTAGTTCACATGTGTTAGGAGAGGGCAGCGCATCGACAGCACAGGCTTTACGCGTATATTTAATGCGAGGTTTAATGCCTCATATGTCTCGTATGACTCGCACTTCTCAGTCATTCAATGCTTACAACAAGTGATTCAATAGTCTCTGAGTCTATGAGTCGATAGTATAGTCGCGAATAACAACTAATAAACAATTAAATTGTTTTTATTTTGCAAATACGGTCGAAGTGTTTGGTTTGAAATAATAGTGAATTAATGCATAGTTTTGAACATTGATTACCAGTTTGTGACTGAAATGTTGACTCACAAGTCATATCAAGACTCATCCAATTGCATGATCTCTGCCCCGAACTACACGAACATGACTTCGTCGATGAGTCCCTCCATGTCGTACACCATGTCCTCCATGTCTCAGATGAATATGAGTGGCTATTCACCGGCGCAGTCCTTCACCTCCAACATGATATCGTCGACTGGGGTGCCGATGGGCACGAGTGTCACAGCGCCTACACCCACAGGTATGTCCGGCATTCCCGGCTCGGGCGGCGGTCCCACAGGCGGCCCCTGTATGTCACCGGCGGCGGGAAGTACTGTCACACCGCTGTCGTCGATGAACTCACTGAACTCGCACGCCATGAACGGCATGACATCACCGACTTGTATGGGATCCATGACGTCGATGAACGGCGGACTGGTGTCGGGGCGGGAGTTTGGGTCGTCTTCATCGTCGGAACCGATGAGTTCGGGCGCCAACGCACTGCTGCAGAGGGCTCGGGCTGACAAGTCGTACCGGCGCTCCTACACACACGCCAAGCCTCCCTACTCGTACATCTCGCTCATAACGATGGCCATCCAGAACTGTCCCTCGCGAATGCTGACCCTCAGTGAGATCTATCAGTTCATTATGGATTTGTTCCCATATTATCGTCAGAACCAACAGCGATGGCAGAACTCGATCCGACATTCGCTTAGTTTTAATGACTGTTTTCTCAAAGTCCCGCGAACTCCCGACAAACCCGGGAAAGGGAGCTTTTGGACACTACATCCCGATTCGGGTAATATGTTTGAAAACGGCTGTTATCTCAGACGCCAAAAGCGGTTCAAATGTGACAAAAAAGATGGCGTCCGACAGAACCAGAAGTCGAGCAACAGTTCCGGATCGAGCAGTGGTAACAGCAATAGTCACCAATCGATGGGCAACTCCGCCAAAAACAACGCCATCGACAGCACCCACAACACCCACCAGAGCGGCGGCGGCCACACCGGCGGCGGAGGAGTGAGTCCGTCGCAAATGAACGGCGCGTTGTCCGACCCCTACTCCCATCACCCGCATCACCACCACTTAGAACATCACCGCCACGTGAACGCCAGCCTCGGCGACGACTGTGCAAAGTTGGACCCATCGGCTCACCCTCACCACCACCCGTCTCAGATGGAGCACCACATGCACGCCGGTCTGTACGGCTCCGGGACTGGTGTACTGTCTCACCACCAAAGTATGCTACTCGCAGGTCAGTTGAAAGCTGATCCCCATTATAGCTCCTCGAGAGACCACCCGTTCTCGATCTCCAGCATAATTGCGAGTGAGAACAAGGCTGACATGAAACTCTATGAGATGGGGTACGCCGCCTACCCACCCCTGTCCCCTCTGGCACCCGGCCACACGGCTATGGCCAACGATGCCTCCTATTATCATCACTCCTCACTCTATCACTCGGCATAGACGCAGACAGCATTTGTATTATAGCCCACTCATAGCCATACCCGTACAGCCATACCCGTACATTGCCATTGCCATCCATAGCCATTAGTGACTGTCCCTAACCTATACCGACTGGAAGTCCACTCCACCTGCGTTTCCAATTGAAAGCAATTTTCTTAATAAACGAAACACTGGAACAAAGCCTATGTCAGAGCCGATGCGTGTGAAACCCGGAACGCCTATAGCTGTGAGACCGTCAGACACCTGCATATACTGTACTGTATGTCAGTGTATGTGCCGCTCTTGTTAACAGTTAACATACATTATATCAATGAAAACAATGTACAGAATATTAAGGAATATACGATACTATTGTGTAAAAACGACTATTGATTCATATGTACCAATATTGTACTCCCCGAGTACAATTATGTCTTATTATTATTAATAATCGATTTGTCATTTAATTATGAATTATAATTAAATAAAGTTTTTTTCAATTCAAACAATTTGTTCACAATTTTCTTATCAATAAAAGTTCAATAAATGCAGTACAATATATCAATAGATATGAGATATGCCATCGAGTATTACTGTACACCGAGTAATCAAGTATTTATTTCTGATTAGGACATGCAAACAATATAGCTATCAGTTCACTGGTGATATCATCACCAGTTATTTGCGGTCACTAACTGTTCCGTTGACTCTATTTTTCCATTCAAACCAATTCTAACTCCTATTTTGTATTCACAGCCAGTCTTAAGATTATTTATAGGTTTTGAGTCATTGTTTATCACTAATAGGTCTGATATGAGTTGCCATCACATGAGACTATAAGGCCAGTGGTATAGACTGTGCTCTGAGGTGAGTCTTTCCTCTTTCCAAATAATCACCTTTCGCTCTGACCTCTGATAACATTATCTCAATTGATATATCCATATATCGACCTAAAAATAATTACAATCCCATGAAATATACTGCAATCGTAATCATAACAACAGAATTTCTATTACTTTGTTTAATGAGACGCGACCTAACATTTAGGTATATATTATATTTGAGTGCTAACTGTGAGCCGGCACACAGAATATATTCACTAATCGGACACTTATTACTACACTTTAGAGTGGACTGCAATGCATATACAGTACAGTACTGTAATAATTCATATGAATATATCATCAGAATTGCACCCAAAAAAGGTTCACTACTTGAGCTAATAGATGAAACACGTGTTGAGCAGGAAATGCATTGCTTTTTAGCATTAATTCTGGATTTCCTGTCGCACGACCGCATCTATCAATACAAACGTCAGGTGAACCCACTCTTACACCTATTAGACGGATGTATATATGATTCAAATGCAAACACAATCCCAATAATGATTTGAATGGCGAGGGCTATGTCACTAACTAATGATTATAAACGCTTCTGTGGGAAAAGCATAAAAAGGCCTTTACTTATGGCCAATGTTTGAAACAAATGCGGATCTAATTCTGTATTATTGAAAAAATGCAAAACAGGATTACCCATAGGTTTAGGTAATTATTGAATGACTGGATAAGAGTACAGTCAAGCCGTGTCTCATTGCATCCAACGATCAATTCTCACGTCTTTTTAAACAGGATTTTTACCATTTGTTCGCCTATTTTGTATGATTTCATATCCACAGCCATAAGTCTTGATTGCACACCCTTTTTATGACATCCACTTTTACGGCTTTATTTCAATTCCTTGTAGTTAACAATAATTTCAATTCACACTTCCATTCAGCTCTGTAACTGGTTTCTCAAAATGAGAACTCAATGCTATTCTCATAGTCATTATAACTATTATACTATTATCAGAGAAATCAATTTAAGACCAATGTTTAGATGTTGTTAATATTTATAAGACATAATGTCATCGATTATGTTTCAAATCGATTTGCAGATATGAATGAGAATTATATTAAATAAGTTTTCAATGAATTATTCAATTGAATAAAATGTTAAACCATTTTATTATAATAATTTGTATTCAAAGCTTCAATTGAATAGAGATTCTAAACTGGAATTCATATGAAAATTGTTGATTAGATAACAAATTGAGTTTTCATAGGATTGAAGTCATATTAAAGTACAGTATGTGTTATATTGAAGTCATGGCTAATACGATGTTTCCGGCATTCGTTGGGCTTTTATTTTCAGTGACAACTGCTGTCCATTAAATTACTTCAAGTGATGAGTTATTGACGACATTAACAGTACTGTCCATTTGGTTATACAATCAAATAGATGTGGGCGTTATATGTGATGCAATTTACTTATGTTTTGTCTGTCTATATCTCAAGAGTTAAAAGCATTTACTGGCAGTTCATAGCATTCAAAGTTTGTTGAAAATTCTATTCAAAAGAATGCATTGCAATTCAATACAACTCAATGCAATTGATGCCAATTTGTGTTAGTCTTGTGTTGTCTCAACAGCTCAGTTGTTGTAGTTTTTTATACTGACTATACTTTACTATACTTTTATATTCTGTAGTTCTGTAGTGACTGCAGAACCTCCCAGAGAGTCAAACAATAAGCCGGAAAGAGTCCGCCAAAGCCTTAAGGCCTCACTTTTCACTATAAACCACTACCAGTCAGCTCTCTCTCTCTCTCTCTCTCTCTCTCTCTCTCTCTCTTAAGTGAGAATATGGCAAAGTTTGGTTGGAATTAATTCGAGCCTCTGATAGTGTAGTGAAGTTTTGATGAACTCTTATATTTTTGATTCAATTATTTGATTCCTATTCCAAGAGTTGAATAATTGATAAAAACGAAACGTATTGTGGAAACAGAGTATGAATTGAATGTCTAATCTATTTATTATAAATTTATAGTTGGGTTAGGCGTTCGGCACAGGCATATGTAGTAGACACGAGGGAATTATGATATTATATTGATTGTGATTAATTTAATTCATGCGTTTGTAAATGCAATTTATATAGAAGTGGTTTATTATTCAAAATTCCCTTTGTTTGGTATAATCAGTATCGCCTTCAGTAAAGCGTTTTGTAGTCTATTATACGATTTGATGAAAGCCCTGATGAAAGCCCTATCCCTCGAAGCCATACATTCTTGTATTTTTATGATTGACAGATGGCTTCAATCGTATGGATTCGATAAAAAGCCTAATTTATGGCCACAATTGTGGAGACGTTGCTGAATGTGTCAGGCCTCGCATGCCTTTCCATCGCTAAGCACTCGTTCACACAATTATTACACCAAATATTCGGTGTACTTGTGAACGAATTCGCACATTCTGTGCTCAATTATGTGTTATTTTTATTTTTTTTATTAATCGTTCATTCAACACAATTCATTGAGTTTTTAATTTCATTTTTATCGTTCATTTCATATCATATATGAATGTAATGCTCAAAACAATAGATAATAAGATATATTTAATTTTGACAACAAATAAACACATAATAAGGTTTACAATTCAATGCTGTCTCGGTTGCAGTTATATAACTATAGCTATAGGTATAACTAAGTGCTATAGCAATGGTTTCGAAAATATTATTCATTCATTTCTGTGGTATAATTGATAAGAAACTCATAGATATATATATAAATTTGAAGAGAGTATAGTTAGGGCAACTGCAGTCAAATTGACAGCTATTTCATAGTTTCTAAGCAACTGGAAGATTATTACAGAGTTTAGGTGTTGTGATCACTATTTGTTCCGTTGTTCCGTCTCTGCCTGTCTTTCCAACAAATTACTCTCTTATCGCCACAAACGCTACAAATAATGCTACAAAAGCCCGCTTTTTATTTACTGCCTTTTCCTGTGTGTCATATCTAAAGTATGCGACAAAAACACTGCAAAATACAATATAGAATAATATATGATATGATAGTACAGCTCACCATTACTTATAACAAAGAATATAAAGAACTTATTAATTTAACTAATATTTGTTTTCAAAACTTGTTTATGTTCTTTAATTAATACTGTATATACTATATAGTACGGTATATTAGTGAATGTTTATTATGAAATGCTATACAGTATTATATAAAAACTTTATAGGAGATAGAGAGCATAGTGAGAATGAGCTGGTGCCATTAACTTGTGGTTTACCTGGGCTTATATCCCGTTTTACTTAAGACACATCTCTCAGTGTTTATTTCTTATTTGATTTGACTTTATATCGATCTGATGTTCACTCGTGAGCCAAATATTTGTGTGCATTTTAAAATATTTCAACCCCTCTAGCATTATGTCAACAATTCTGTTAAACAAATCTATTGTATAGAAATTGAAAGCTTAAAATAAAGATTGTTTGCCATATCTTCGATAAGTCAGTCAAAGCAGTCAAACATTTATTACTTTTAAAGCTCTCAACACAATCTATGGCCACCAGAAGCGATACATCCCTGAGATTTCATTACAACTTATTTATACATTATTTTCATATTTAATATAAACCTCTAAAAATAAATTTATTTAACATAATATTAGCGAATTGTGTGTTTTGTTTATTTGTTTATTTTGTAGATTTTTCTTTTATTAGATGTATTGATAAGTAGTTGTAGTGATATTTGTTTAAATGAATTTAAGAATAAAATTAAGATATAATAGACTATTAAATGTATAAATAGAAAGAGTAGTGTAATTGAAATTAGCTTTAGTTAAAGCCATTAACTGTTGGTTTAGAGAGAAGTGTAGTATTTGTGAAATGGCTTTATATAAACATGTTTTTTTCCAATCAAATCAAATCAAATCAAATATCAAATATTTGTCATTTTTAATGGTGAAAAGTAAAGTGTAAGCATTTGTGATGCACTTATCAGGTCTCGACTTAGAATATTAGTAAACCAAATATACACATCTACTAGTGTATAGTATATAAATATATAGACATATAAATACTATGCTTGCATTGGTGTGTGTTATGTAATATTTGATGATTGTTTGATTTGAAGTGAAGTCTATGCCTCAGACTATGCCTTTGCACACATAGACAAAGTGCAGAATGACTCTACACTACA